TATTAGTTTACTTAATATAATTTTTTATAAAATTAAATATAAAAAAATTTTACCATTGAGTTTATATATAATTTCAAGATATTACCCTCTACCTTTAAGTGATCGAGTGAAAATTCTTTATACTGTAGATACATTGCTTGTGCCTCGCGTAGTGTAATGTTGAAACATAAAGAATTGGCGTAAAGTATACATGAGTCTTCTATTATTATATTCGAGTTCAGAGACAAACGAAAATTATTTATAAAGGGCAGTATATCAAGGTTTTGGCTATTCGTGGCTTATAGTGATTGTCTAATTCTTTTGCCCCCCAAATCGAGCTACATATAGTTTTTTTAAAAAAAAAAATTTATAAAATGTCTGACTTAACTGCAAAAAATTAAGAATTTTTAATTAAAGGAACCTTTGATGCTATGTATGGCGTGACAGTGGTTTATTTGTACAATGAAAGATGGTATTGTGCCTTCATATAATAATGTTTGAGACTTGGCAGAGCGCGCGGTTAATTCTGTATTGACTGAAATAGAAAATCCCAAATGAAAAATGAAAGCATTAGAAATTTTACCACAGGTTAGTATATATACACTTTATATTCATATAGATTATATAAATTGATGAATCCAACTTAGTTTTTAATATTTCATTGCTAAAACATTTGCGAAAATAGCTTCGTCTATTAAATTTTAGTGTTCACTAAGTTAACATACTGGTATTTCTTTTACATTTGCCATAGATGAAAATCAAATACATGAGTGTAGTGGATTGAATGTGATAAAGGTGTTGAATATGGTATAGTATTATGTAATATACTGTATATTGACACGCTGATATAAACTAATCACTTATACAGAATAAGAAATCAGCACTTGATTATACGAAGGAGAAAATAGAAGAGAATCTTAATCTGTTGAAGGATGAGCTTAATGTGAGTTTAGAGAATATTGGTTTTCTTGTAATCGTTTTTTTCATATTTTAACAAAGTTAGTACATTAGAGTTGAAATTTATTAAAGTTTGTTTTATTGTTTAGCATCCTATGATAAATACAGATGTGTCGCTGCAAAAATTACACGTGTGATTTCTGTGTTTCTCAAATGGTGCTTGAGTTGAAATTGATATATAGAATAGCATTATAAACCTACTTTCTGATACCAGACTCTATTTGTACCTTATTCGTGCCTATTAACAGTAAAGTCAGACAGGTACGGGCCTGAAGGCCGAGTTCGAGCCTGTACCCGCCTGACTTTAAGGACCTGCTAATGGCAATAGGCACAAGTGAGGTACAAATAGAGTCTGTTATTAGAAGATAGGTATATACTAATTTCGGCTCAAGCACCTCCAAAAATTTAGAAATCGTATAAGTAATTTTTGTGGAGGCCTAAGTGAGCATAGTACTTATTGATAATTCAAATATATAGAAGCATCTCTTTTTTGTTAAAATATTTAATGTAGAATATGTTGTCCATACTTACTTTTTTACCATTTTTTTTATTAAATCATAGGAACTACGTGAAAATATAAGATGTGCTCTTCATATTTCCGTTGCGTCCAAGTGTAATGAGTTCATAAAGAATTTCAATAAATGCAGGTGAGTCAAGAGAGATGAAGAATATTCCTTATAATAAAAGATGAAAAAAGAGCGAAACTGATCTAATAAAAATATCAAAGCATATTTTAGGCATTCTGTAAGTATTTCATTAGTATTTTCCATCATGTAAACAGTTATGAAATAATTTCAATATATTTTAACTAGTGGTGAGATATGGAATAATCCGATGTTCGCAACAAGTACATTCTGCAACGAGCAAAATGAAGGAACTTACATTACAGATGTAGTAGTATCTTTATTTTGAGCTATTCTAGGAGGTCTACCAAATCATCACATTTGTTTAAGTACTGCAGATTGTCAGAGTTTGGCAAGTAAGGCATACAGAAATATTGAAGCAAGTAAAGGGTGGATGAGAAAGAAGCCTGATGTTATGGCATTAGAGAAGTACAAAGAATAGATAATTGGGATTTTATATGTTGAGTGTTCACGTATCATTTGCAATGTCACGACGAAGTTATAAAACAGTTCAAAGTTATAGAGAGAAACATTAGATAGTATGAGCTTTGTAAGTGCAGTATGTAGACTAACTAGTAATCAATTTGATATTGTTGGGATTCAGAGAGCATATACTTGAATGTTTTGGTAAAAGGTATAGGTGGAATACCTAGGTATTTTCATCTTGATCATGCAGAAATACCTTTGACACTAGACACATTATGAAAAGTAAAACCCCTTATATAATTATTATTGACTTTGAGAAATATATTAATTGTAAACAAAAGTTTACTTATGTAAGCATTAGAACAAGCTAGTACTAATCTATCCTGAAACCTTCATCCAAGTTCAACTGTCTTCTTACTACGTAGAGAAGAATCAGGACAAAAAATATTCAGAAAGAATAGTAAAACAAAAGGCTAAAAAAGCAAAAAAAGTGCACATTTTTAGAATATATTATTCTGTACTTGTTTTTATTTTTGATGTATTAATAAACCTGACCCTAGTGGCTAATTTCGCATACATGATTAATTTATTTTTTATATGTATTTCGTGAATTTATTTCTGCCTTTTTACAATTTTTGCTTGAAGCTTTTCACTTATTTGTAAGAATAGGTGTTCACTTAGTCTCAGACTTAGTCTTAGACTTCGAGTGATAAAATCATAAGAAGGCAGGCTTGTGAGAAAAAATAATGATATTTGATATATAACTTGTATATGATTGAGAATTTTTGGCTTTGAAGAAATGTCTCTTTTAGGCAAATTTTTTCTTGACATTGGTGTGAAGAATCTTCATGCTTACATGATTATTTATTTACTAAGAGTATAGATTAATAAAATTAACTTAATAGTCTTCACTAATTAATAATTACAAATTACATTGTAAAAAAATGCATAAAAAACAAAAAATGACAAGAGCATAGAACCCCTTCTTTTATTTATAAAAATTATTGTTAGAATGATAATATACTAATAAAAAAAATACAAATAGAATTTTTTTATACTATTTAATTTCACCATTATTATATCTCTCTTGATTACTACAATCATCACTAGCACTATTTCCATACCACATATAATTGTCTAAATCATGCCTCTTGTCAGAGTCATATTCTGGATCATCTAAATTAATACACAAAATTAAACCATATTTTATTTTCTTTGACTTAAGATGGATGTGAGAAGGTAGAATTTTGATACCATCCAATTCGTCTCAATAAGAAAAATCGATTGGTATTCAAATTCGATTACTAGGTCATGAGATACTTTCAATTTAGAGTTCCAATCCAGATAAATCCGTCATCCATTTATCAATATCTGAATTTATCCGGATATCAATAGTAAAACGGATATTCGAATAAATTCAGATCTGGACACCCAATAGATAAATGGATAAATAGATAATAAATAGGAACTCTACTTCAATTGAACATTATCTCATGATTTAGTGAACAGAATGGATACCATTCAATCATTAAAAATGAATCTAATGCACTAAGATTATTAGATTCGAATAAGAGAGATCAAAGATATTCTCAATGAGAGAAATTGAATTACAAAATCTCATGATTCGCCACAATACCTACTTCCTTTAAGAAAAACTTTTGTGTTTGTATAATATTTGTATAAACTATATAATACATACACATTTTGATACATATTTGATATTTATTTGGAATCATTAAGTAAAATTTTAAAGTCAATATTTCCTTATTATTTCTCGTATTTAATTAAGAAAAAAAAACATGAATAGTTTATTTATTGAATTTGAATAACACAATAATACTAATGAGAGTAATGTACGAATAGAGTAAAAGTAACTTTAGCTATCTTTGAAAAATGAAATAATTTTCATTGAAAATTTATTGTAATTTGTAATTGAATTTATTGATAAAATGTTTGTTTTTTTTTAGATTTGCACAAATTACTTTGACCGGCGATTAGTGCACACATTCAAGGGGTGATGCTGGTATTATAAATGAAATTGGCATTCTGAAATTTAATTAATGTGCCAAGTTTAATTTAAATAATTTCATTTTTTTTTATTGGAATTCACGAACCTTGATTGGTCGTGATTACACCTTTTTAGGAGTTTGTATTACTTGTGAAAAATTGGAACAGATCACGCGAATACGTAGCAGTAATCATAACGATAAATAAATAAACCTTAAGGAGCTTTTGATTGATATATACATATATAGCTGATAGGTATACGTATAGCATTTAACGTTAATTAATTGATGCAAAAACCAAATTATTCTAAGGTGTATTTTAAGGCGATAACGATAACAATGAAATGCACCGCACGATAACATTAGAAGATAAGCATGAAACCTTTAGTGGTAATTAGTTACAACAATTCTTTATACAGTTTGCCTAGGCTTAAATAATTGAGACCTTTACACTTACCTATCATTTACTCATTTACTAATTTACTCAGGCCTCCCGATTTTGTAGAACTTTAGCGAATGTAGTACGTTTTGTAAAAAGATAGACCAAAGTTCCGTAAGCACATGCATCGTTTTTTATTAAATATAAATCTATTACTAGTATACAGGTGCCATATCTTATCTTATCTTTTCATTATCTGTAATTAAATATTACTTACTGGTTTAATGTTTTTGTTACACAGATATATATAACAAAAATGATAACAAAGTAATCCTTATTTTCAGAGTTACATTATTGATGCATTAGTATAAATTAGTAAATTAACCAATGAGATCACCACGACTATTGCCATTCTGTATCACTTTTGGCATATTCATCGCCACACTCCAGATATTAATATAATAAAGCAGAATTTTAAATTGAATCGAAGCATATGGGTTCACAGTGTGCATTCATAATACAAATTCATAATACAAATGATTGTAAAAAATTTATGTACACACAATCACCTTGATTATACCTTGACGATACCTTTATGATGCCTTTATGATGCCTTTATGATAGTTAAAAAAGTTAAGAAAGAAAGAATATGTTATAAAAGACGTAGGTATATGATCTTGGTCAACAGTTTTCTAGGACAATGATCATCTCCTATTTATGAAACCAATTATGTTTGCATTTACTCATTATATACAACATTCAACTTCCCTTCTTAAATTCTTATTGGAATGTTTGTTCGGAGTTATTACACGATGATCATGTGCTACATATGATGTGTAATTGTTGATATTACATAATTTTTCTTTATATTTACGCCAGTTAATTTGATTTTCCAGTGCTCATAATAAATGTGCACGTAGTAATATTTACACATATTACAGTATTATTCGTATTCAAATTCACACTATAATTTCATAATTCCCTTTTTAGTAATTATTATCATTTACGATTTTAGACAAAAGTAATATATGATACAATTCTTGATAAAAATTAGTATGTTACTTGTAACCCGTTTTTTTATTAATGAAAATAAATAATTAGATTACCTCTAAAATATACATATTAAGATTTTATATTAAGATTTTATACGTACATATTAAAATTTTATAGAATGATTATACCTCTGACTAAGTATCTCATTAAGTGTCTAACTTTAACCTTCTGAATAAAGTTATATATATATAATTTTTAATTCTATTTACTTTTTTCCAATGACTAATTAAAATCGTGCTTGTACATCGGCCTTAGCGATGTTACCCAAACTATTTGGGACTATGTAATGAATAATATCGCATGAAGTATTTACCTTCTTATTGTTATTGCTGAAATCGTGTGATGCTATTCATCACATAGTTTGAGTAACATCGCTAATCGGCCTTGAGTCCGATAAATAATAAACTGAAGCCCAAAGTTGGATGTAACTCATATCGTTACGATTATTAATTCATATAATAATATTTATTCGTTAACCCGACATTGAACTTCTCTTTTTAGTAATTTTCTTATGTTCCCTATGTTCTTAGTACGTATTCGTTATTCATTGATTTTGTACACACGTACATAGTGTATATAAAAGGTTATGTTTTTGGTGGGGGCCGTAGGACAAGTGTATCATAAATCATATATGTCCAAAACCGTGTCATTAATTGACTGCCTCAATTCAGTAGTAGTTGTATTAATTTCCATATTAAAAGTTTATTGCCGATATGTCATTGTGTATGACGTATATGCTCTTCAGTTTTAGGAGATTATAATCATCTCGGGAAATTTGTGGCGCTAATTTAATGATGTATTGTTCATGTTGTGCATCTAGCCATTAAATATTAAAAAAATATTTAATAAGTTAAAATAATTAATTTCACTACATATGATACATATAAATTTTTTTTTTTTTGATTTTTTTTTTTTAAACCTATTAACCATTATCACCGCCTATTTTTTTACCTGTTTGAAACGCGATTTTGTAACGTACATATCATTTGTTTTTTTTGTCTAAAACTGCAAGGCTTTTCTGTACCACATTCTATTTTGCTCAATGATCTCACATATTGATATTTATAGTATCACGAACATCACAGTAACAAAAAAAAACACTTCCACATTACTTTAAATGATCTTATTTTTTTCATTGACGTTCGAAGTTATATAAGCGCTTGTTTTGGAATCTCTTTAAAACTCCCAAATAATTAAAATAATTAAAATCATTAAAAGATTCTAAAATCTTTTCATCCTTTAATATTAAACCTTCAAAGTCTTTAAAAAATGGTGTTTAAACTATGTTACAGCAATCCATCTTTTATTAATTCTACAATTCATGTTGATTCTATAGATTCTATATCTTCTCTTTTAACTCTTCCAAATGAACTCTTATTATTATTATTTGAAACTTTGGACATTCCAACTATCCTTTCTTTAAGTAATGTCTGTAATAAATTTCTATTAATCGCTCAAGTTTGTTTAGCAAAAAGATTTAAAACTTCAAATCTTGAGTTGACTTTATTACTTGACCAAGAATATCGGCGTAAAAATCACATAAATTTCTCTTTTGACCATTTTGATTCTAAAACTGAAAGATTCGTTTTTACACCAAAAAAAGACAAAGCTATGAGATTCATTAATTCTCGTATGATAGGATGTCCAAAGTTACGCAGAATTCAACTCTCTGGTTTTGATAATAATAATACCTTTATTGATAAAAACCTTTTACAAAAAGCTTGTACACTACCTATAGAATCAAATAATTCCATATTACAAAAAATTTCTTCGGAATATAGAATAGGTCGTGGTTCAACTCATTTAAAATCTACTTATACTTTCACTTACTCAATAAGTGATTCCCCACCCCCATTTACGATTAGTACTCGACGTGGTGAACGATGGATCAAACCCTTACGATTCGAATGTTCTCCATGTTTCTTTTATCCTCATGAGCCTATCGCTCATAAAATAATTATGGACCTTATTCATTTCAAGAAGAAAAATCAAAATAAGAAACATAATATGCATTTATTAAATTTGAGTGAAACCAGTTTATGTAGTATCGAATCAGAAAGAGATGATGATGCTATTACGGAACAAAGGCAAAGGACTTCTCTAACCAGACTAAAAAGATATTATCGTGGTGTTCGACGATAGAAATAAAACCAAACTTCCTTTTCGATATCAGATCATATCGACATCATTTTTACCGACCACCGTAATTCTATTGGCTGTAAAAAAAATATATATATATAAAAATGCTAATACTGCAATTTGATTGGTTAACGTGATGTGTATTCTGAAAAATAGAGGTCTATTAATTTTTTTTTCTTTTTTTTTTTTTTTTTTTGTAAATTTATTAGTAAAAAAAAAATATTATATATAAAATATATATAATTTATACATTTGTATTATTCACAATAATTCATTATCAATATCAATATTATATCATACATATACATAGACAAAAAACATAACGAAATACGTAATAAAAAGATAAAAGATAATCTTACAAATATACAACTACTGTACTGTACAAAGGCTTTAATTATTAAAAATTCATTGGTTTCTTGTTTTCATTCTTATTTAGCAATACATTGTGAGATAATAAAGTAACTAAATATAGCAGTCCGCCTTTTATAACATTTTTGGATATAAAAAAAACTTTTTTTGATTGATCAAATTCTAGAATTCTTTATAATTATACGTACGAATTTGGTGGAGAACTTCCTAATTAAGCCTAACATCCCGGATTTTTTTAATTTATGTACAAAAAATGTACATACCTTATGTACTGGTTTCGTGACTAAGTATACAAAAGAATCTCTATATAGTTAGTCTTATTTATCTTGCTTTTATCTTGCTTTCGGTTGTTGTTGATCTAACTATTGTTTCTTTTACACTTTGAATCTATTTGTTGACTGTGTTTACACAATATCCTTCCAAAAATAATACCTCCTCGTGATTAAAACTCGGGTATTACTCATAATCCTTACCAGCCTTTTTCTTGAATAGGATCCACAGTACAACTATGCATAGTGATTTACTACTTTTTTTACTACTTTTAAATATAATATCGATATTGTATAATATACTATGTACTTACATATGAAATAAGTTTGATTTTTAACTACGTATATATTTTTTATAAAGATAACTCTTATTTTAAAATCTAAATTTAATGATTTAATAATACACATAAGCAATTCAAAGCAATTCTTAATTAAAAAAAGTTATTTGTATGCGTAGCACTAATATTTTAATTTGGTTGTTACTTTTACGTAGTCATTAAATACGTATTTTATTAATTAGCTGTCACGCCTAAGTATAGTCACTAGACACGTATTAAAGATCTAAGTGTAGCAACGAACTTTTATAAAAAATAGTCCCATGAAGTCTATTGTTATCTTGTCAACTGATTAAACTTGTGGTATATGACTCACATACGTAGGTTAGGTAGGTTGGTTAATAATTTGCATAGTTTGTCAGCATTAAGAAAAAAAAATGATCCTGTTCCGAAATATCTTAAATAAAAATGAATGGACGTAAACCGATAAAGGGGTGAAATATTTTATTCATTAATCTTTGACACAAAACAACAATAAAACAAACAAATCATACTACATAAGTGTTTTTTGCTAGAGAGAGCATTTTTTTAGTATGAATAGTAAAAAGATGAGCTTTGTGGCTATTTTTTTTTTGCATCGCTTCCTCTGCCCTTTCACTTACCAACTTTAGTGTTCCATGGTCTCTCAAACTATTAAACATTTCACACTAAAATGTTCACTAAGCAAAACAATCTGGGACTGGCAAAACTAAATATTTGAGTTAAAGCTACAATTTGAGAAAAAGGTTGTAAAATTTATAAAAAAGAAATATTTTGAGATCTTGTTAGCATTGAAATGATATAACATTATTTTTTTTAACATAATCAAAAAAATATCAATAATAAATACTTAAGTTATTTAAATAATGAATATACAGCAAAGATGCAAAAAAACTATAAAATCAAAAATTTTTAAATACATTTATTAAGAATTTATAAAAAAATAATGTTTATATAAATGTTTAATCTTGCTAAAAACATACAATATTCTAATAATAAAAGTAATGGCTTGGCTTAGCATTAAAAATATACAATTTACTTATTATTTACTTATCATTTACATATTCAATTAGTTACTGAATAAATTTGTTGCAAAGAAAGTTTCAAACTATGAATAATTTTCAAATATACAGTAGCCAACAAAAATAATGCCTGATTTTTGATCAAAAAATAAAATTTTTATTTATTTAATTTTGATCACAAATACATCAAATTTTTTTTTATATTTATTTAATACTTTACTGAGCAACCTTTTATACTTGTGATAGTGTCAATTCTTTATGTCATTAAGTTTGCAACAACATTAAAAACTAATATATTCAAATTTGATTATGCTTCCTATAAGGCTGTTTTAAGGTTAGATTTATTTCTTGGAAAATCATCATGGTTCTGAATATTATCTTTTTATGATCTTTCAAATATTTCTATAGAGTTAAAATTAGAAGATTATAAGGATCAATTCATATAATTAATATTTTTTAAATTTAGTCAATTTGATACCTTATGAATTGAAGTATTGTCATATTGAAAAATCAGATAAAGGATGTTTAACAAACAAACTGCAATTAAAAATGATATAAAATAGTCATTTAACATCTTGATATAAATGTTTTTATTAATTTTTTGCTTGAAATCTTTGTAATCATCAAAAAATATTATAAGACCTTTGATACGTATTATTAATAAACATGATTAAATAATTATTGAGACTCTTTCATTTTTAAAATTTATTTATAAATACTTATATTTGTATTTCTTATTTATACAATACTATACACAAACTTGGTAAGATTGTTTACCTACTTTTATATTCATTTTATTTAAAAAATGATACATCTTCAATAGTAATCATTCTTATTTTTATTTTAATTACATCATTCTATATGTTCTTCTATATTGTTATTTAATAAAAAAGATTTCAAGATAAAGAATATAGTAACCTAATGAAATGATCAAGTTATCAAGCCCCAAATAACAGATCTAAAGTTTAAATCCTATAGATGATGAATTTGGAAAATAGATCTGTTTTATAGTAACTGTCTCTGTTGATTAGTTGAATTAATATATTTGTAACTTTCAATTGCACTATCTCAAATAAGAGTTCAGGGCATTTATACAAAATGTAATATTATATCTACATAGAGGAATATTAATAACTGGTATTGTATAAGACTTCAATATAAATCTATGTTAAGACTACTAGGTGTGAAAAGTAAAGAAACTGAAAAATCAAAAACACACTTAAAAATCTTAAATAAAAAGGTAGTACAAAACTTTTAATAATACTATCAGACTAATAGAAGCTTATGAAATATTTTCAAACAAATAAGTAAATAAACTAGATGACAAAATATATAGAAAAGCATATAATTAACCAGGCTGTTGAAATTATTAGAAAAAAAGAATACTAAGGTATACTATACTGAACTATCTGAATTAGAAGGCTGAAGAGTCTTATTAGTTCTAAATAACAATTAGTAAAAAATGATAAAAAAAATATTAAAAAGATAAATACTGAAGTTTTAGATGAACCTTACAAGGATATAAGTAGTTTAATAATTAATCTTAATTGCAAATGATGGTTTAGATCAAAGCAATACTAGGTAAGCTGTAAATATAGAATACAGAATATATTATTAGATTTAGTACAAAATTAAATATAACTTAGTGACCATGACATATTTTTATTAGTTTATTAAAATTGTTAGTAGAATGTAATAAAAACAGAATCAGAATGTTTAAATAAACATTTTATAAACAACTCTCCCTGACGATCACTCATACCGAATTTTTTACAAATGATGAGCAGAAATTTGTTAGAAAGAAAAGGAAAGGCTTCTAGTTTAGAATGGTTTTTACAAAGGTCAACTTTTTGTT